CTTTAAAGCAGCAGCAGCACTTACTGTTTTCCTCCAACACTCAGCAATGGACTTGTAGAAACTTATATTGCTCACTCTAAATTAGCCAAGATGAAACCCTCCCCTTGAATTCTATAGATAGGAGAGTTTACTCCTCAGAATTTAGATCTGAGCTTGTACACAGTAATCACTTTTTATTCTCAAAGATTTCCTCTCCACAGTTAGTACCTGCTTATTTGAGAATTGTGCAGAATAAAGAGAGCTTCATTAGGTTTATTTCAAAGGAAATATCCTTGATTTCTGCAATTTGCTTATTTTGAATATGTTATTTTACATAATTTATATCAGATATGCAAAACATGAATGTCTCATTTTTGAAAATTACATTTTGGCTTTGTTGGTTTTTCCCCAAGTTTTAAAGACTATAAACCTTACTTGTTTCAATAATCAACTTTCTAACTTATGTGGTATGGTTTGTAAGTCGATGAAGCATATTGTTAGAAAATAAGATGAGCATCTGTAACCCAGTTATGGAGTGATCCCATTTGCTCAGAAAAAAGGCAGAACAAATGCAAAAATAAACTTGGGTAGCAAAGAGTATCCTACATGAGAGCTAGTTCTCACATGGTCAGATCTAAGCCTGATACCAGATCTGTCCATTACCAAATAAGAAGCAGATGGAAATCCAGCCTCCCTCCTGAAAGAATAAATAGGGCTTGCACATATGCAAGTTACACAGCAGTTGCTGGAATTCTTTCAAGACTATTTCTTTAGTTTTTCCACAATACACTTACTGATCTGAATTTTTGTGTCCTTGGAAATCTGTTCTCGAACTGTTTGCCTGTCCGGCTGAGAGAGGTCTGATGTCCTGTGGGGCTAGAGTGGGTGGGTAGGTTGCTTTGCAGTGGGTGTTTGTAACTGGCCATGCCCAGTAGGGCAGCCATGTGGTAAAAAGGCAATTTCCAGCCATGGCAGTAATTTTTATAAGTGTGCCCTTAACAAAGTCTTGCCTGTAACAAAAGCTCAAAATGATGTACCACCAAGCCAAAGGCTGTCTGCCTTTGCTCTGTCTGTAACTACTGCCTGCAAACAAATTGACCTTAATACCACTCTCTCTGCGTGAAGCAGCTCACCATTCATCACTGACGTTCTTTTTGCTGTACTTTTGGAAGGTTGGCTATACCATCCGATTTGAGGATTGCACTAGTCCTGAGACCGTGATCAAATACATGACAGATGGCATGCTGCTGCGTGAGTGCCTGATTGATCCGGACCTGACGCAATATGCAATCATAATGTTGGATGAAGCCCATGAGCGTACTATACATACTGATGTACTCTTCGGTCTCCTGAAAAAGGTACTAGCTCTTTCAACTCATCCTTTCCACAATCCTAAAATTAGGAAGCAGAAATTTGCTCAAAATAAGTAAAAAAAGTATGTTTGTCCTGAGCTTCAACCCCATATCGATTAATTTGTCTGTCAGTACAGCCCTTGATCCTTCTATTTGTATTCTGTCTTTTTTTTATGTACTCCATTTCTTCTCTAGACAGTTCAGAAGAGACAAGACATGAAATTAATAGTGACCTCAGCTACCCTGGATGCAGTCAAATTCTCTCAGTATTTCTATGAGGCACCCATCTTCACCATCCCTGGTAGGACATACCCGGTTGAGATTCTCTACACCAAGGAACCTGAAACAGATTACTTGGATGCCAGCCTGATTACAGTCATGCAGATTCACTTGACGGAACCTCCAGGTGAGGCATGGGATGAGAGCCAGCTTAAGACCCTCTTCAGAAGTTGCTCCCAGATTGGAGAATTATTAAATATATTCAGAGTAATTATATTAACCATATTTGTTACATTTAATTTTGTTTAAATTTAATTAATATTTGAGCTGGTGCAGCACATCTTTACAAATCTCTCTTCATCCTCCTTCTGAAATGGCCTAGCAAGCATTCAGAAGTTTAATATGGGTCTGAGGCTGAAAAAGTTTGCACACATGCTTCTGTAAAGCCTCTTATTGCCAAGGTCTAAACTCTTTCAGCTTGCCATCCCTTTTCCTTTTGTGTTAGTCAAGTCAGAATGGGATTTTCACGTTTAACAATAAATCGACAAGGTTTATTACTCAGGTTTGGCCCCCGGTGGAAGCTATAAAAAACTTATAGAAGATATACCTGTTCCTTGAGAAAATATAAAAATATCTGATGTGATATAATCCTTATAAGACAGCTTTCTTGCCCTTGGGAACTTCATTTGCCATTTCTATACTTTGAAGAGTTTTAGTTTTTATTGGCAAAGAAGTTCCTGAGGAGCTAGCTGCTGACCAACTCAAGCTCCTTTTGACATTGTTGGACTTCGGTGGCAGTCACCTGGATATCACACAACTCTGATGATGTTGTTAGATGAGAACTTTGCTAAAATACAGATATGTTTCTCAAACCAGTTTACGTATTAAAAGTTCCTTGAGGGAGAAATATTTAACATGTGTTGGTAAAGATGCAATTTATGTATAATTTTTAAAGCTACTGGAGGAAGAAGTAATTTTTTCCATAGGTTTTTAAGAAAAAAATGGAAAATTTGGGGAAAAATCATACTGCATAAAATATCCCCTTACCAGAATATTTTCCCCATCCTTAGCTGCAATATATCT